GACTGGATGGCCCTTGGGGTCTCTTCCAACTCTGTGATTCTACGATTCCCTAAAATGGTGGGGGAGACATTTCCTCCATTGATTCAGCAATTTGTCTGGGTCTCTAAGGAACTATTTGTTGCTTGTACGGATGAGCCCTCAATGCAGCCTGTGGGACAAACACATCCTTTTCTGACGTCACACTTCATTTGCTGGGAAAATAGACGTTCTGTAAATAAAATAAGACGCCTTTAATGATGACTTTGTGCATAATTACCTCCTAGAGTATTTTGGGAATCATTTCATTATGGCATTTGGAAAGCACTAATCATAACGGCCTTTGCTGAGTATAATGTCGTGTCACTTCTCTCTCTCTCTCGATGCAAAAAACCTGTTGGCTGCAGAATATTGCTGGTCTACCACCATTTCCCCATAAGGATGGACAAGTGGTGCATAAAGCAGAAGTGTTTCCCCCAAAAAAGGATTCAAGGGATATGATCAAAACTCAGCCATTGGCCAATCATTCAAAGGTCTTCTTCTTTTCCAGCCTCCCTGACCATGGTTGTTTTGCATCTACCATATATTGGAGTGTAAGTGCGATGTTATAAGTAGTGTGGAGTGTGGTTGAGTCTCCTTCTTTGGAGGTTTTTAATCAGAAGCTGGATGGCCATCTGTCAGGGGTGCTTGGATTGTGTCTTCCTGCATGTCAGAATGGGGTTAGATTGGATGACCTTTGAGGTTTCACCCAACGCTATGATTCTAAGTAGAGATGGTTGACAATGCTGCTCCTTGATCTTTGGCTGAGGATGAATTTGTCCTTTCTTCAGCCTCTGTTTTTGCTGTTGTGTGCCTTCAAGTCATGTCCTAGTTATGGTGACCCCAAGGCAATCATATCATGTGGTTTTCTGGGGCTGAGAGTGTGTGACTCATCCAAGATCATCCATCAGGTTTCCATGGCCAAGCAGGGAATCAAACCTTGATCTCCAGAGTCCTACTCTGATGCTCAGACCATTACACCACGATGGTTCCTTCAGCCTCTGGCGAAGCAGAAAGAAACTAGTCCTGTGTCAGCATGTGGGGTGAGGTCTTTGAAAGGGGGGCCATTTGTTTAAGGAGTGTACATGCCTCCACATGGCCCGTTGTTGTTGTTGTTGTTGCATGCATTCAAGTCATTTCTGACTTACGGCAACCCTATCATAAGGTTTTCTTGCCAAAATTTGTTACAGAGGAGGTTTGCCATTCCCTTCCCTTGAGCGGAGAGAATGTAACTTGCCCAAAACTCTCCAACATTCCACAGATGAAAACCAAAACACGTGTGGCCCAGCGTCAAGGTGGCAAATGTTATTATTAAAGAGGAAGACATAAGCTAGGGAAGGTTGCAGCAGTTTGCTTTTGCCCGAGTCTAAAGGGAAGGGCATGATTCTGCCTCCTCCTGTCCTCCTTCCCAACTAAGTTAACTGAGTGCAAGCCAGTTTTGTATTTTGAATTGAGAGTCAGTTTGGCATAGTGGTTTGAGTGCTGGACTATGACTCTGGAGACTAGGGTTCAATCCCTGCTTCGCCATGAAATGCATTAGATGACCTTGGGCAAGTAACACTTTCTCAGCCTCGGGGAAAGGCAATTGCAAACCTCCTCTGAACAAATCTTTGCAAGAAAACCCCATAAGTCAGAAATGACTGGAAAGCACACAACATTGAGCTGAGGATGAAGGAGGAAAAGGGGAGGAGGAGAGAAAAACTGGGACTTCTTCAAAGATTCTGAAGAAGTGGGATGACAGAGGATCAACTGGGATTTATTGTGGAGAAGACAAGGCATATCTCCTTTTCCTTACTTTCTTGCAAGGAAAAGGCCAGAGAAGCATCAGCAAAGAGGTGGAGTGGGAAGAAATGCTTGAGACGTCATCCAGAGGCTGTTACCATTTGTGATTTTCTGTGAGCTCATCTGTATTCATTTAGGTAGCAGGGTGACAATTATGCGGAGACATAATCTGTTTTTTAGGAAAGCTTCTACATGTTGTTACACATTATTGAGTTCAATTACTGAACTGTCTGCTTTGATTTCTCCTCCTCCTCCTCCTTCTTTTCCCCCACATGGTGCAGGAAAAGTCTACCTGGCAGATAACTGGAAAGAGGAAAGGTGGACCTGGTTTACGCAATCATGCTATTTTCATATACTGTGTTAACTGTTGTGGCCTGGGATTTCTAGCTTTGCAAAGCCATAGAATTTCCTGCTAGAGAGCTCTTGTATAAACTACAATTCTCCAATGGGGTAGTATTCAAAAACATAGCCATGCCAGTCTGGATATATTGACACAAGGCTCAGAGCATACAGAGAGCCAGCCTGGTGTAGTGGTTTGAGCATTGGACTATGACTCTGGAGACCAGGTTTTGAATCCCTGCTCAGCCATGAACCCCACCGGGTGACCCTGGACATGTTACACTCTCTCAGCCTCAGAGGATGGCAATGGCAAGCCCCCTCTGAAGAAACGTGTCAAGAAAACCCCATGATAGGGGGGCCTTAGGGTCGCCATAAGTCAAAAACGACCTGAAGGCACACAATACACACAAACACACAAACAAATGTATAGGGTTTAGGCCAGTGACTTCAGCTAAGAGACATAATGTTCCGTGATTTCATCTTGAGATGGTGTTGGGAGGAATTCAGATAGCCTGGCTCTTATTAAAACAGGACTTTATATTGTGAGAATCTGTGTAACGTAGTGGTTTAAGCATTGGAGACCATGGTTCAAATCCCCACTCAACCATGGATACCCCTTGGGCAAGTCATACTCTCTCAACCTCAGAGGAAGACAAAGGCAAACCCTTCTCTGAGCAAATCTTGCCAAGAAACCCCCATGATACATTCACTTTTGGGTTGCCATGAGTTGGAAATGACTAGTGGACACAAAACAACAACAAGAAGAAGAACACACCAACCCATTAAAAGTGCTTTCAGCCACATAAATTCCAGTGAGACCTTGCTATCTGCCGGGGCTTGGTTCCAGGACCCCTGCGGATACCAACATCTGTGGATGCTCAAGTCCTATTATATACAATGGAGTAGTAGTAGTATTTACAATGGGTCCTTGGTATCCACTGTGGTTTGGATCCAGGACCCCTGTGGATACCAAAATCAATGGATGCTCAAGTCCCATTAGCCATAATGGTGAAGTAAAACGGTGTCCCTTATTAAATGGTAAAATCAAAGTTTGCTTTTTGGAATATATATATATATATATATATATATATATATATATAGAATATTTGCAAGCTGTGGATGGCTGAATCTGTAGATAAAGAATCAGTGGCTATGGCAGGCCAACTGTATAATTTTGCCAAAATTTTGCCAGAATAAAAAGGTCTTTGTCTCTTGGTGGAAGGAAAGAAGAGAGCGGACGATGTCCTCATTTTGCTCCTACTATTTCGACTCCCCGGAGTACAGATTAATCTAAATCCTACACCAACGTAACAATGCAGGCATCAAGAGGAGGAAAAAAGTTCCAGGTGCAACAGCTATGAAAGAATTTGGGTACTGGAGAAAAAGGATGCTCAGAGTTGGCCTATTTTTCCCCTGCCATTTCCTTCCAGCAAGATGCAGCCCTAGAAAATGTGTGCCATTGGCATCCATAAGATTCTGGTGCAAGTCTCTTGAGGAATGGCATTGGAAAAGCCATTGCAACTAAAGACTTCTGTCACTGGCAATTGTGTCTCTTTCAGATCCTTTTATTTGCCTTTACAAAACCCCCACAACACCTAAGACATATTTGAGTCCCAGCACTTTCTGAAGATTTGCAAAACACCTTTTGGTTTATTGCCATCACCTCCCTTTGCTGGAAATCTCTGCTAATAGAAAAAAAATTCTAACTTATAAGATTTCAATCCAATCTATCAGCCTCCTTCCCTTCCTTCTTCCCTCTCCTCTTCCCCACCCAGTGTCAGTTATTTTAAAAGAAATTAGAGCATCAATATTTGTAATTTAGAGTCTCTTACATGCATACAATGAGACAATAAAAAAAGAGGATTATTTGAGTATGCCTAATGCCTTGAGGAAGAAAAAGTCAATTTAAATTATTCAAATACAATTTGTCTTTGAAGCAAAATACAAATGGCATTTACATTAATTTTCAGCTGTTAGGAATTACGGCTCGGGGGCTTGGCTGGAATCAGTAGCATAAGCCATAGATCATATTATGTCTAAGAGATAGAAGCCAAAGTTTACCAACACAATGCTCTTGCTCCAGAATGAGAGTGGAGGGAGATCAGATGCTAATCCTTGGATGTTAAATTGATCTGGATAGCAATGCTGAGAACTGAGGTCTTTTGAGGTAAACAATCAAGCTGCAGGCACAGAAATATATAAATATATATATAAACACACACACATACAATATATATATATATATACACACACACACATATATGTTGAATTATGGAAACCCTTTCAATGAGATACTTCCAGGTCACCTTGTTGTCAACAGCACTGCTCAGGTCTTGCAAACCCAGGACAGCCATGGCTTTTCTTCATTGAGTCTTTCCACCTAAAATGTGGTCTTCCTCTTTTCCTATCATATCATGCATTATAGTCTTTTCTAGGGAGTCCTTTCTTCTCACATACGACAGCCTCAGTTTCATCAACTTGGTTTCTAGAGAGAGTTCAGGCTTGATTTGCTCTCAGACTCATTTATTTGTCGTTTTAGCCTTCTGTCATACCATCCATTATTGTCTTTTCTAATGCGTCATGCCTTCTTCCCATGATATGTCCAATGTACAACAGTTTCTATTTAATCATCTTGTCTTCTAGGAAGAGTTCGGGCTCCAGCACTCATTTATTTGTCTTTTTTGGCAGTCCATGGTTGACTTGTCCAACGTCCCCCAATGGTTTTCCATGGCTGAGCAAGGATTTGGATCTTGATCTCTTGCAGTCTTTAGTCCAACACTATTGGCTTTGGTTTTCCTGGCAAGATTTATTCAGATGAAGTTTGCCACTGCCTGCCTCATGGGCTGAGAGAGTGTGACTTCCTCAAGATCACCCAATGGTTGAGGAGGCATTCAAAATCTGTGAAAAGACACTGTTAGATGTCCAAATCAGGTTTTGGATTTGGCCTCATGATAAATCAGGGGGGTTCTGAATCAGCTCAAGGCAAACCAGTCTGTTTTTCAGCTTTGAGTCTGAACTCAAGTCTGCTTTTAGGTTGCATTAAAAACACACACATTAAAAATAGTAATTTGATTTAATTGTGTTTTAATTTTATGTACTTAAAGCTTTTTCATTGCATTGTGGTTTTTAAAGATTGCATGCTGCTGTAGGAGAAAGGGGTGGGAATGAAATCAATAAAATGTTGGCTTCAGGTCTGCATGTGTGTGGCTGCGTAGCTGGTAATGAAATTCATTTGGACATGTTTTTGGTTACAGTGTCTGAACACTGTAGCAGAAGATGGACAATGAAGAAATAAGAAGTAGAAAGGTGACTGGAAGGCTGTGAGCCAACTAACACAATGCCGGACTCCATTTATAGCAACTGCACACAACAGCGAAGTCGGTACCAAAAAATGTCCTTCCAACCCATCACTGTGTCATTGTGTTAGACAAGGTCTAAGAATAGACTCTCATGGGGACCAGCTTTCTTTGCTTTGGAAGTCAGAACATAAGCGGTACAGATGGTCCTTATGCAACTCTTCTGAGGATCCCAGGGGGTCAAAACCTTGCTTTGTTAAACGTCGATGGTGACCAGCCATGATTGCCAACACAAAGCAAAATCAAAGCATGAGAATGGCCCAACAACTGAAGGTCCAAGCAGCTGGCACCGCTTTTGAGGGAGGTGGACACATGACGGCAATGACAAAATAGCCAAAAAAGGGGGAAGCCACATCTGCATGGAGCTTGGAAGCTCTCCAGCAGGAAAGAGCAACAAAGATCCTAATGGGAAGAGCTGCATCTCAGTGGTTAAGCACTGTTGTTACATATACAACACAGTGAAGAACCTCCAGAGGGTTTGTATAGTCCTACACTTCCCATGGACCCTTACCGTTGACCATGATGGGTGTAGCTAAAGAGGAGTTCACAGACAAAATACTTGGAGGAGGACAAAAGGTTACAGATCCAGGCTCCAGTCCTAGGCTGTCAGGTTGTTCATTACCTTCAGCAGCCAGGATAGAAAAGACCCCTTCCATAGAGTTTGTATGAAGACAATGGATTTTATTGGAACTGTCCCTGCCAAATCAAGAACAGTTGATGGATATGCATTTCTCCTGTGTTTGCTGAACCATGTTGCTGGACCATAATCTCTCATGTGAGATGCCTTCAGTTGCCAGAGCAATAGTACCCTCTTTCTTGAAAGCCTGAGCAACTGGTATCCTAAGGCCGGCTGCCTTGGATGTATTATGGGACCATATGACTCATTAGTAAAAGCAATAATCCTTAGGATAAGGGAATCTTAGAGTTGGAATGAGCCTCAAGGGCCACCAAGTCCAACCCCTGGGCATGCATGAATACACTACTAAAGCACTCCTGAGAGATGGTCATCCAACCTCTCTATAAAGATCTCCAAAGGAGGAAAGTCCATCA